TCCTCTTTCACAGTATGGTTTCACACTAACAAGGTCAGGGGACAAACAAAATGCATTCGCCTTGCAATCTGCACTCTGCCCACTTAGGGAGATGGATGTCGGACATAACTGACTACGTTCATTAAGCCAAAGTTGCTCAATATTCCTTCATTCTGCATCAGATTAACCTACTTGGCTGGTACCAGTTAGGCAAAGATTGTTGAACACCGCTCTTTCTCTGGGATCTACAGGAGACAGAGCATGTTTTGAGGCTTTGAGGTTTCAAGGAACCGTCTCTTTCCCAAGTATTGGATTTCCTGGTATATCTGAATTTCCACGGTAATTAGACTCCCTTTTCAATAAATGCTGGTACTCAGCTGGCTCTGTTAGATATAAAGGCTTGTGATATTCAGAGTTCACTACCAGCAAGTTACCGTTATGACATCAGCATTTCAACAGGATGACCCAGAATTCAGAAGATCCTTCTTTGGCTCAATCTCCCCAGCTGCCTATCCCACCTAAACCATGCACAGATGGCACCTTTGCACTACTTGGAGAAACAGGTCCAAATGCCTCCATTAGCCTTACAGCAACCTCCCCTCTGCTCCAGCCAGCAGTACGACATGCCTCAGTGGCAACGGGCTGGCATTTTGCAGTTGGTCTCCAGTCCCACTGTGACAACACTCTCCTGGTTTCATCATCTCACATACCATCTTGCTTTTTTCCTTTGGTGCCTAGTTAAAAGCTACTAGTAGGTACCTAGAAGCATTTCTGATATGCCAGAAAAAGGACAGAGGAAACCTGCAGAGAAGTAATGATTTCTCCCATCAGTGATTCATGGCTCAGAAAAACTGCCATCCCACCACCTCCTTCTCAGACTTGGCTGTAGTTTCACAAGCTCTAACTCCAGTCAAGACTTACTGTGTCATTAGATGAATGAATGGTCACCTTGACCCAATTTCTACCTGTTCTGTCCCTTTCTCCTTCTTTACTTTTTGGCCTTTGCCATTTCACAGTGCCAATAAAGTCAACTCTCCGTAATTATCATTGCACCAGTCTCCAGCTTCTAAATCCAGAATGTAGTTTATCTATCAAGTACTATCTATTCTTTTGGTGTGGTACAGTTTCAGACTAAGCGGTTTATCTCAGTTCAGTCCAGCCTCGATGCTCTCAGGAGAAATACAACTAAGTTTCAAACCATGGCAGACTTAGTCCCACAAGGTTGCCAGAACTTCTTTGCATCAGGCCTACAAGCTATTTTGTTCCCCAAGCAAAATAAGTAGAATAATACCTCTTTCTAAAATTGTTCATGAGCACAGTTTCTTCATGCCTGCAGGATAGATCGCAGCTGATATGAATCACTGTTTGCAATGCCTTCTGATGGTTCATCCTAGGAATGAATCTTGGCTTTGCTTATCAATATAAGGTCAAGAATCTGCCATGCTCATCCATCCTGATATCCCTATAGTATAGCTAACATGTAGGCTCTTGCCAACGAGATCTGGAAGAGATCTAAAACCATAATGAGACTTTCACTCCAGAGGGGATATGAGGGGCCTTGCATTGCCCTCCTCATGACTGATGCCCAAGACATCTTCAAAACACCAACCTCCACTGTGCTGCTCCAGGCTAGCATGGAGAAAAACAAGGTGCCAGCTGGCATCTGGAAGAATTCAGCAGGGTAAGATTTGCTTTCAATGGAAAGGCAGCCCTGTGCAGGGTTTCACAGCCATGTCTCCTGCTCCCATTGGGCCAGCTGTAGCCCCTCTTCTGCAGTCCACGGGCTCTTCTGCAGCTGCATTGGGCATGGGCATCATGCTATCAAGGAGCAGCAGTGCAATCTGGGATCCTTTCCAGCACCTGGCCAGCCCTGACAGTAATTGATCTGGTCTTCAAAAAACTCAGATGGCTGCAGGTCCCTGTCAGTGCCTGCAGCTTCTCCATGACACTTCCTCTCTCAGCATCAATGGAGCGACACATTGCTGTCAGCCCTCCGCCAGAAGCCCGTTATTTTTTGGCACCTCCCACCAATCTGGTATTTTGCCACTTGCTGCCTCTCCTTCCTTCGCATCCTGCCTTTGGCAAAAGCCTCCTGGAACCAGCAGCCTCCAGGTTCCTCCTGGAACCTGGGCTGAGCTGGGACCTTCCGTGCCAGGAACCTGCTGGCCTGGAGCTCACTCTCGTGCTCACTTCCAGCCAGTGGCATCACAGGCCGACTGGACCTGGACTCCAGGGCTGAGCATGGCTGGTGGGAATGAACACTGGTCTTCAGCTGGGCAGAACCAACCCTTCACTCTGGCCCCTGTAACTGGCATTTTTTTTTCATATTTCCTGTTTTTCCAGGTACTGAGTGGATGTGCCAAGGCATAGACCCTACAAACTGTGCTGAGGCTTGTTTTTGGTATGGGTAGGCTCAGCTAGAGACTCTCTCCAAATCCACCTCTGGACTGTATCCTCTGCCTGGTCTTAACTCCACATCCTCTGTCCTGCCTTACTTAACAACCTTGATGCAATTGCTGCCCCTGGGATAGCAGCAGAAGCATGGCGAGCTTGTGGTGGGACTTCTTCCCAGGGCATCTTACAGGCCATGCTCAGCTCAGGGAGAACATGACCCAAGTCAGCTACAGCACATCAACGGCTCTGACAGCAGGGAGTTAACAGAGATATTGCTGAGCACAGATGCAGAATCCAGCTGCATGGCAGGAGGCAATACCAAGCTGTAAACATGATGAGTGGGCTACAGAGTAGACTATAAAGGCACTGCACAACTGTTTTAACCTGCAGCTTGCTTTACCTAAGAGGCATGAGGTGATGGGTGGCCACCATGAAAGGCTGCAGTAAAGAAAGTGCATGGAACCTCTCCAGATTGGTCCTGGCATAAGTTGAGGTCCAGCTCGTTGATCACTTCCCACATCCTGCTCTCTGATACTACAAAATTTTATTCCCCTACCATCACAGGAGGCTCTTCCACCAGAGTTTACACATGACTCCCTGCACAGCACTAAATATCCTGTGGTGGGGAGCTAAATATCCTGCTAATATCCAGTGTCCTGCTCTCTTCCCATCACACCCTGCACGTCTCCTTCTGTGATCAATGGGAAGGCATGACATGAACATCAGCAAAGAGGCTATATCACAGTCAAGTCAGCTTTGGCTTAATGAACCATGTCTGTTTAGATAGTTCAGACAAAGCAGTGACTTAGAAGTAGGCAGGGTGATGAGAAGCAGTCTGCAAGAACTGTGGTTTGGTTAGGACTTAGTGTCCAGCTCTCTTTGCCTTCTCTGGCTAATGGCAACAACATAAAGCCCCATCAGTGCAATGGGATGGGACAAACTGCGAGATGACCATTTGCTCAGCGTCTGACTTAGTGGCAGGGTAAACCCATGCTAACCTGGGAGGAAAATAGTTGGTTAGCTGCACCATCGAAACAGCAAAGCAAGTCAATGCAGTCAGCCCAGTACAGCTGGGACATTCGGTTACAGAGCACCGTCTTCAGAGGCTGTTGTGGTAGGTCAGAGCTTACCTATTTGAGGTGCAGGGTACCCGTAGTGCTGCAGATCGTCAGTGTCCTCTCGCTTTCTGTTATCTGTGGACCTCAGCGATTGGCTTCTGGAATTATAGCGTCCATTGGCTATGGCAAGGTAATGGGTCATGTAAATACACCTTGGTTCACTCTGCAAGATCTTTCACTACAAAGGTTACATTTGTATAGACAACAGCAACCTGCAACGTTTGATTCACATGACCACCTGCCTTCCAACCCAGCACCCCTGACAACCAGCCATCCCTGGGCGTTTGAGCCGAGCCAGCCTGCAAGACTTGGTCTGGCTGGCAGTTCAGCCCTTGGTTTGAGACATGACACCATGCAGAATCGATTCCCTATCCCTGATTTAATCAAATGCAATGAGGGTGTCCATATCCTTTTTTTTTTTTTTTCCCCCTAGAAAAAGCCTCCAGAGAGATTGGACAGCTGTAGGAACTTCTGGGGGGTATCCTTTTTAGGCAGGCTGACAGTGAATCCTGTCATACTTGACAGCGTTATGAGATCTATGGAGAAGAGTGACACTGAGGGTTTTTTTTTTGTGTGTGTGTGTGCATGTGTGTGTGTGTGAGAAACTCTGTCTTGCAAAGTGTATGCCCTTAGAAATGTTCTGTAGAGCATCCAGAAAATGCTGAGTGAAGCAGGCATGTGAGGGGAGATCGGAAAAAAAGAAAGGGATGGTTGAAAAGCTTGTCTCCTTCCCAGACTTTACCCTACCAGCAGCAAAGAGGAGAGATGAAGGCTTTCTGTCAGCAAGATACTACTGGACCAACAGAACTAAGATTGAGCAGCTCTGCAGTACAAGTGAACAAGCAAAGCTCATGTCTGGTGTCTAACGATCAATGAAGCTTTCCTGATGAAGGTCGTGGTGTTGGGACCGCTGTGCAGTGAGAGCATTCAACTTGATTCAGTTCCCAATGGACAGCAGGCATCCCTGTTCCTTCCAAACCAGCAGTAAAGATACACGCAACCAAGAATTAGCAACTGAATCCCGCTCACGAGGGCTGCTATGTACGTCAGTAGAGCACAGATGACTCCATCAGAGTCATGTAGCAGAGCAGAGAACAGAACTGAGCTCTAGCCGTCTGTGATCTGGCAACCAGTTTGTTTCCAAACAGCAGGTACCAGGCTGAGGATCTTTTTTTTTTTTTTTTTTAACCCAAGGAGACAAAACAGTAAGACATCTTTTCAAGAAGTACACACTGTAAAGAGATGAAATGGTGACAAATTTGATCTCGGAACCCTGGGAAAATTAATAAAGGTTAATGAAGCTACAGTGTGGTGGCAGGAGTCTTTATTGCCGTCCAAAAAGGGAAGGCAAGGGAGGGAGAGGAATGATTCAGAGAGTCCCTGCCAGGAGTCAGACTTCACATTCAGCAGATAGATTGATTCATGGGAGAGGCCCATCGAAGTTGTAAAACTGAAGAAAATTCCTCATTATGTTGTTCCCAACGCAGGTGATACTGATGGCTCCAAACCTTCCTAGCACAGACTCATTTCAGGGATGAGAAGGACATTCACCTGCCTACATCTGTGTTCCCTATGTATTTGTTTATTTATTATTTTCCAGGTTCTTTCCTAAAATAGAAACAGACAAATCTTTAGTTTTTTAATACCTGCAAAGCCATGGGACCTTTTCAGCATGGGATTTAGCTTTTATATATATAAGCTTTATATATATATACGTGTATATATATATATATATATATATAAACTAACTAAATATATATATAAAGGCAATCTTGTAGTATTTTTCCAATATCCTGTTCACAGTGTTCGCTTAGGGGACAACTTAAATCAGATCCAGGTACTAGATGCATCTCAAACCCTGATCCATCCCCTCCACCCACCATTGAAAATATCTTGTATTTCGATCTATTCTGATTTCAGTCCTTTTGTTGAAAGCCTCAAACCCCTGAAAAGCCACAAAAAATGGGCTATTGAAAATCCCAAAGGCTTCCCAGAGATTCACGGAGCAGTGAGGAAGGTGCAGATGTGGCAATTGAATTGATTCGTCACATGCTCAGGACAGGGAAGCGGGTAGGAAACCCTTGGACTGAATTCAGCAGCAGGTGGTGAGCATCAGCGGGCAGATGGATGGACAGAGAGGAAGGACAGAAGGAAGGAGGGAAGATTGAAAAGGCAAAGGATCGAAGTAAAAATGTTCAATGCAGTCAGTTTCCCTCATATCCATCTTCTTCTGGAAGCACATAAAGACATTTTCCTGGTCTGAAGCAGGAGGTATTTCCAAGGTGGTTAGTCACCACATTGGTTCCCCAAAGGCTTTAGCTCCCAAGGGAACATTTCTCCTAATGACTCATTCTGCTCTTGCATGTGCTGCACGATTCCCGTTGCTCCCTGGCACGTGTGACAGTCCCACACTATTACTGCTTGTCCTTATTAAAGGTGATCAGATCTAGTAGCTCACCTTGAGCCTTCCCCATCAGGGACGGGCTCCGGGACCAGGCCAGGATTGCCTTGCTGCAGTAAAGAAGGTTCCCAGCCCTTGGAAAAGATGTCTCAGAAAAGCATGTCAGGCCCCATTTAGCATGGAGCCTGGCACAGATTTAATTTGAATAGTTAATAAGAATAAATATGTGAAAATCAACCCTGACGGAATTAAGTGGGGAGAAAACTCATCATTTATGCATGGGATGAAACCAGTGCAAACAAAGCTCTGTGGTGGGTTTATGCACCAGTTGGGTGCTGCATGATGAACAAAGCAGGGAATTTCAGCAGCTTGCTTCCCGCAGTGGAATACACAGGGAGGAGCAATGCCAGCACCAAAGGAAGTCCCAGATGTGACTTGCAACCCAGCCATCGAAATGACCTAGAGTGGCACATGGGGGAAATACCCAACACTTTGGAGAAGCCAGTAGGAGAACTAGAGAAATAATGCTGCTGAAGGGTGCCCAGAGAAGTGTCAATCATAAGCAGAAGGCAAGTAATTGAGATTTGAAAAAAAGAAAAAAAAAAACACAGTTAAGGGAAGATGGGAAGGATAATCATGCAAAGTTGATTAAGAAAAGGAAGCTGGTGACCAACACTTCTGATGAGAGCACATAACTCATCAGTTAGATAGTCTTTCCAACACAGCCATGGAAAAAAACATCTAATGCAGAGATTTTGTGGTGTTTTGTGCTTAGTCTGTAATGTTCAAGCATGTCTCACAAAGCCACACTCTCTTCCCTCTATATTCATCCACCAAACAGGAAGAACAAATAAAAGAGCAGCATGAACCAGACTTTGAAAATTATTCAAGGAGGAAAGAAGGGATGGAGGGATGCAGTGCAAAGAAATGACTTTATATATATATATATATTTATATATATATATCAAGTGCAGTAAAACTAAAGGAGAAGCTGTGGACTATGGATCTTCTTAGGCATCTAACAACTGCTAATTGCACAAAACTGAAGAGCAGAACACCTGCTAACAAACGTGTATTTAAGACCTGCTTTACCATCAGCATAGGTGGTAAAGTGCCAGCTAAGGAAATGGTCCAGCGACCCTCAGTTTGAACACTGGAGACTTTTGAAAATGTCAATGTGAGACCTGGGACCCACAGATAGGATCTGCCCAGAGCAGCATCAGAAGACGAAATATGGTTAAGTCACTCCAAGCAGCAGCAGACAGTTACATATAGGACAAGATGCTGTTCCAGCTTGTGACGGTTTCTAGTCTTGCCTGCAGGGAATGAAGATGCTCTCATACACAGATACACGCACACTCAGGATATTTCAGCTCTGTTTGTGGCTGCAGCAAAAGGGCTATTTTTAATGCAGTTCAGGGGCAGCAGAAAACAGCACTGAGACACAGTCTCTTTGAATGTCATGTGGAACGTGCACTTCCTCACACTACTAATGTTTATTTAGCTGAAGGATCACATCCTGATCTCACTTCCCATGTTGGAAATCCAGCAGGCTCGTTGGGACCACACTGGTTTAGCACCAGAGGGCAGGATGTGGCCATCCATCTCCCAGATGAGGGGAGATGTATTTGCCCAATCCACATATTCATATATGTCAGGGATGGCTTTGCTTTGCCTTTGCCAGATGGGATGGCAGGGTTTCAGCTGGCTCCTCCACTGATTTCATTCCCCAGGAATCGGTGCAGGGCCACCTACATCTCTGATTGTTCTTGCATTTCTCCAGCCCTGCTGAATTCCAGCACTGGGGTCAGACCTGTGACATCACTACTCTGATTTGGATGTTGTTCTGCCATGTTGCCCATCCATCTTCCTCCCCTTCGGGGCTCTCCATGTGCCAGTTTGCCAGAAATTGCAGCTTTTAGCACCACACAGCTGAGTAGGGCCACTGTAACACAGTGGTGGTCCCTTTGACGCAAAGAGGACAAGCCCAGGTAGTTGCTCTGCAAGCACTTTCCATCATGCCTCTTGAATTTGCATTTTCTTTTCTTTTCTTTTCTTTTCTTTTCTTTTCTTTTCTTTTCTTTTCTTTTCTTTTCTTTTCTTTTCTTTTCTTTTCTTTTCTTTTCTTTTCTTTTCTTTTCTTTTCCTATGTAAAACATCAGCTTCTGGCCAAATGCAGCAGATGGAGGAAATCTCCCCTGTCTGTCCTGGAGCGGAAGATATAACTGGGTTCTCTACCTCTAGCAAGGAATAATCAGAGTTATAGCAAACACTGAATGTTGTCCCTAAGATTAGCTCTCTTGAGCCAAATGGATGCCATGAAAAATGACTCCTTTGCTCAAATAGGGCTGTTTCCCCCCCCCCCCAAAAAAAAAAAAGAAGTTCCATTTCCAGTTTGGGATGAGCCTTCATTCCATTTTTTTGTCTTTCTCAGGAGATCTGAAACACATCGACTAATTGGCCATCAGTGTGAAGCACTGAGGCAGAAGCTATCAAGGGGATATGATATATGTATTATTTTTCCAAACAAGGGTTGTCTAATCAGGTCAATATTCTTTCTCCCCCAGTAAGCTCAGCCAGATTAATCCTGCTATAATTTGGAGCAAGAGATGTCTGTGTAATAGAGGGAAGGCAGGAGCACAAGTGAAACCATTTATCAAATCACAGCCCCTGGGACACAACCAGACTATTCTGTACCTAGGACCAGCTATTTTGGGTGTCACATGCCAGAAAAGATAAGTGAGTAAATAGCAATTGGCCCCTCACTACTCTGCTCCATGCAATGAGCAGAGCTGGAAACACAGCCTAGATTTCCAGTCTCCCTAGCTAAACATGGTCCTTCCTCATCCATTCTTCCAGTAGAAACCTCAGGAAAGCCAGCATGAAGATGTGCAAGTTCTTCAGTGTAATCTGGGTGGCAGACCCAGTGAAGAGGACCAGGGTGATGAAGAGGATGCCAGGCTGAATACAGCCCAGGAAAGCACTCTTACTCTTGGCAAACCATGCAAGCTGAATACCAGGACACGTTCAGAAGAGCATAACCAGCAGATCAAGAGAAGGCATTGTACAGCTTGTCCAGTGCTGGTGAGGATGTGCCTGGAAAAACACGTCTAGCCTGAGGCTCCCCAGTTCAAGAAGGATGTGAAGGAATTGAAGCAGGTCCCATGGAGAACTATGATGATGCTCAAATGTGTTGGGAAGAAAGGCTGGAGTTTGCTGTCTCCCCCTACCTCATTTATCCAGCATGGGAGAAAACTCCTTAAAGTCCTAAGGAGTTTTGTTGGCTGTTGTTCCATGTCCTCCCATGTCCCAAGAAGAGCTGCAAAGCCTCCTCTTCTTGCCATCAATGCCTTCTCCACCTTCACATCCATAGAAGTGCCCATGAAGACCAACATAGACCTTTCTCTAGGAATAAACTTCATCCAGGTGCCTTCAGGATCTATTACAGCCTTTCAGATCAAGAGAATTCCAGGGCCCCGCCCACACTTGGATGCACTCGTACATTCATGGCTCCAAGCCACAGCTGTATTGAGACTCCAAAGTTACCAGCAAGTGTGGGAGATACCAGTTAAAATTCCCTAGTGTGGGCGAACCTCAGTAGGAAATTAGCAACCATGAGTCAAGAAAATGAAATTCAATACACTGGAAAGTTTAATTTTAAAAAAGCCTAATTGCAACAAGATTTAAATTTATGAATGTAGTAAAAAATGCATGAAATCATTTTAGCCCTTATTAGAGGAATTCATTTACGTCCCTCTATTTGAACTTCCCCTTTATCAGGAGACACTTCCCTGCCTTTGAAGACAGTTGAACTTTCTGTGGTTATTTGCCTAGTTGGAGGAATTATTCAAACATCTTTCACTGCAAGATTGGAATAAAAAGAAGAGCATAATTATAATCATCCATTCGCCTGCATTTGCTGGGCTGGGATTCTTCTGCTGTTGTTTTTCTCCATCCTCCGCTCTACTTGGATACCATGAAAAAAAACAAAAAACAAAAAGTGTTGAAAATGAAAGCGCTGCAGGTCATAAGCTTGACGCATTAATATCTCCCTGCTGACTGGCATTGACAATCTGTCCCTTGCCCTCTGGCAGAGGACCTGGAAAGCAGCTACATTTCAGGAAGAGAGCAGAAGAGAGCAAAATCTCTGCCAAAGACTTCGCCTCTCTGAGGCCCTGTGTTTTGTCCGGAGGTGTCTAAAGCCAGACCTGGCTCCACATACTATTGCTGCAGGCTGCAGTTTTGTAAAGGAAGGGGAAGAAACATTGCACTTGACTGGGAAGGTGAACTAAGGTGGAAAGATTAGCAGCAAGATTGGCATCTCTCCTAGTTGCATGCTTTATTTATCAGGAAGAGGCTCAAGAGGTTGACCGTTAAAGAAATGCCTTTAAGGGAATACATTTTTCCATTGGTGATAGGTTTTCGCAGCAGAATTTGAACAATTGATGTAGGCATTACTGTAAATTAACCCCCTTCTGCAGGGCAAAACACATATACATGCATGTGTGTTGCAACGCGTGTGCCAGCATTTGTATGTACGTATGACTGCAAGACAGGCAAGGACAGGCCATGCACAACCAGCATTGCACACTCCCCAGGCTGTCCCCTTTTAAAAAAGCTTTGAGGTCAAACAGCTTGTGTGCGTGCAAGGGAACATGCGTCCACTTACTATTGCACGCTTTCCTATTGCACAGTCTTCCTTCCTCCAGGACGCCCACGCAGGCAAGGCCTTCGTTGGGAAGGGGCTTGCAGGTGCGCATGCGGGTCTGCAAGCCTCCCCCGCAGTCCTTGGTGCAGTCGCCCCAAGCTGACCACGGTTTCCAGCCACCTGAGCAAAAATCCAGAAAAGCCTCGTCAGCCGGGGTGCCGCGGGAGAGGACTCTGTGATACACCCGTTGCCATGTCCCAAAACTGGGATCCCTTTAGTGCAATAGAGCCACACATCACAGATGAGCCCAGAGGTCAGCATATGGAAGGAGAAGGGAATAGCATTGCCTTTTCATTGACTTCTCCTCAGTTACTCCCACTCTCTAGCAAGTACTCAGCCTTCCTGAAAGCCCTGCCCCATTGCTAACTCACCCAAGACTTGCTCTGCTTGCTGTATCAGGGACCTTCCCTCCTCAGAGAATATCCTCTCCATGTTTTGTTGGCCCCTCACCCCCGGAATCATAGAATCATTATGCTTGGAAAAGACCTTCAGGATCATCAAGTCTAACTGTAAACCCATCACCATTATGCTTGCTAAACCATGTCCCTAAGTACCTCATCTATACATTTTTTGAACACTGTCAGAAGATACTTGCAAAACCCACTTCAAAAACAGACATGCATTTGGTTATGTCTTCTCTCTCTCCCCCCAGGTAACCACAGCAGCACAGAAATGTTGGGGAATGGATTGGATTGTACCAACCACTCTCCTATTGGCTCCAAAATGGTCCTCCTTTTCCCCACCTTGCACATACTCCAATGCCACCAGCCATGGAGAGTCGCTGCTCTCCCACATGGCTTTAGTGAAGGAAGGGGACAACATCCCCCTCACTTGCCATCATCTAGGAGATACGGGTTCATAAACGGCTTTCTGGCTCCTTTTCCCAGTTCTGCTGTCACAGAATTTCTGTCATCAGCTGTCACACTGCAAGCTGGTGGAGTTGACGAGATCCTTGCTCTCGGAATGGTCCTACCACTCTCAGAACGGTTCAGACTCAGCAGCCCTTTCCACCTGGTGCCCTCCCAGGCTGCTGCCAGGAAACACTGGCCTCTGTGGGACATCCTTAAAAGTCAAAGGTCGAATTGACTGGTAAGATCAAACTTGCCTAACATGGGCCAAAACCTTGCAACGGGGTGCCTACCAGTGTTTAGAAGACACACCACAGGAATATCCAAGCCCTTCAGGTGATGGATAATCTGTCAAACATCTCATTGATCAGTTCACACTTTCTCCACCATATTCAGCAAGCCCAAATTTGCTGTATCAAACGTTCATGCTTCTAAGCAGATACTTCTACTCCATCTTTTCCCCATTGTGAGGAAAGGAGTAGGAGTGGTCCCTCATCCCATAAGTGGCTGCTTTCAGATGCCTCATCTGCTTCTCCTTCTTCACTTGCCCAAAGCTACCCTTAGATATGCTTCAGGTTATGTATATCTTGCAACATGCAAGAGATGCAGCAGTGTGCCTTGGTCAGGCATAAATAAAGAAATGAGTTACTAAGACTTTTTTTTTAATCCCTTTTTTTTTTCCAGAGGCATCAGAGGTGCATGTGCCTTCATATTGACTGGCCCACCATCCTTTTTTGCAATTTATGGGGCAATGGAGATCACAGCTCCCCTCTGAGCTGTGGGCTGCTCTGCTGTCTGCATACCTAAGGCAGTGAAAAAAAGCTAATCCTCAATAGCTCAGTTAGGCACCAGGTCAGAACATGGGCATTTGCCAAGCCATCCTTGCATTGAAATGGGCTCACTCAGTGCCCCAGAGAAAGGCCATGAGGAGCCAAAAACTGAATTAATGCCTCAATCCTGAAGCTTGAGGTAACTCCCCTTCTCACTTGTCTGTGGTTTGGGCAGCTCTTGGGGAAGGGCTGACTTGATGCCCCGGTTTCATACTTTCTTTGTGAATTGTCCTCATCAGACCCTCATATCTCTGCTTTTTTAGCATGAATCATTTCATTTTGTGGTTTGCTCCATAGCTCCATGGGGTCTAGGAGCATCTTTCCATGACTCGAGTGGGCTTCAGAAGACTTCCTTTTGCCACATGCAAACAAGGACTCTGCACTATTGTCAACACTATTGTCAACAAAACAGAGAGAGAGTGAGAATAAGCATATATTCAGCATCAGGGATGCTGCTGAATGTAGTGCAAGGTGCTTAGATACTTGGTAATAAGAATAACCTGGAAAACAAAAGAGAGCAAGGTGGCAATATGGGTTGGCAAACATCACAGCTAGTGATGGAATGGATGGGGCTGTTAAGGCATAGAATAAATGTTTGGCCTTGAAGAGCAATGTCATTCCCTTTGAAGTCACTTTATCCACTGAATTCTTTTCTAAACAGCATGCAGAAACATTTAGGCTTGTCTCTCCTGTCTCCTCATGGGAGATGGGTTTGTTTTCAGTCACAAGAAAGGCCACTGGCACAAGGGCAGGTATCCTGATGTCTTGCCTGAGGTGATCAATAGGATATCTGTAACCAGATACATTTAAAAGCTCATAAAATCTTTGTGCCTTTATCCATGACTGTCTTTACTTCCCCTCTCATGTTCCCTTGTTGATTAGGAGTGAACTTGGACGCAGAAGAAGGCACAAATTGTGGTGAGGCTTGTAACTGTGTATGGCATGCTTTTACGTATTCCATTCTTAAAGCAAAAAGCATAATTGCTCCAGTGCATTAAAAGACAATGCTATATACTGTAGTTAAGCAAATTCCAGACTAGTTATCCAAACTATCATGAGGTCTTCAGTTTAAGGATAGTTATTCAAACAAGTGTGCATTTCATGATGTAAACCTATGATGATAACATTACAACAAAAAGAATATTTAGAAGAAAAAAGTCTAGGCTTAGTGTTCCTGCTTAGATTAATTCATTAATAGATATTCCCCAGGATCACCACAGAAACTAATAGAGTGATACTGTGAGTTCCAATCTTTGACTTCTCCATACCTTGTTCATCACCAGCTATAGAAAAACTGTCAGTATAAGATAAAGAAAACAACATACGATCTCAAATCCTTAACCAGAGCCAGATTTCTTTATAAGGTTGGGGACAGATAACTTCCTTTCTCTCCTTATTCTTCAACTTCCATCTCATTTATGAGTGCTAAAGAGAAGTTAGAGTAGAAGTACCAGAGTACTTCTTATTAAATCAACACAGGCATTTACAGCCAAGACAAAGGGATTCCCCCCTTTATGGTATAGTCCTTTTTCATTATCTGGCTGTCTCATGGTCCTGACGAATGAAATATCGCATGTTATTTATCCTCTTTATTGGCCTTTAGATAAACCTTTAGAAATTTCCCTTCCTTTGCCTGGGTATAGTCATTCAGTGTTCCAAATGATTTGTCTTTTTTAGTGGTGCTGTAAACAATTGTTTAAAGGCCTATTATATAAAGTTATACTCATCCCCTCTTTGAACGGAAAAAAGCAATAAAAAAAAGCCTGTGCCATGAGTTAAGCACTCTGCTTTTCTGTCCATTCCACTGAAATGTCTAGCTGCCACAAGTGAAGGAGCTGATTTGGCTGTAGAGCAGCTGAGCTGTGCTAACAAGCTACACAAATACTCTTATCCCCCTGTGGATGCTACAGAGGAGACATGGGTGGGATTTTGTCACTGCAGGGCCTGGGGGCATGCCTCATGGCTCATAATGCTGCAGCCAGGTGCATGGAGTGTTACTGCTCCATGTCTTCCGGGAAATGCACATCCCTACAGGCTGCTTCACCACTCTGCTTCTCACTTTTCTTTTCAAACACGCTTTTAGAAGAGGCTCCTGATGCTGGAAAGTGATATGTGGCCCAGAATTCCCCTGAGGTCAATTGGACCTTTGCAGATAGTCCCCTCCGTTCCTTTCATCAGCTCTCAACCAACTGCTGCACCTCAATGAGTGATGAAGGATGAATTGTCATCTGTTCTCATTCCAGAGATGATAAGTCTCCTGCAACTGCTCTATCTTCATACATTTTGCTTTTCAAGGGTGAAGGTTACAAACCTTATCTATTCCAATGTAGTGAAGTTTGCCTCAGCTGCAGCCTTGCAGGCCTATGTACCTGTCTGATCTTTATTCCCTTTGAGTAGCTCATGCTCTGCTGATTCCTATCATAACCAGTAGTTATCACCTCAGTCATGTATCAGGGTCTGGCTTTATTTTTAAGAGTCCTAACCCCTCACATGGCTTTTGTGAAGTCAACTATTGCAAGAAAAGCTGCAGCTCATGGAACTTTTCTCAATGCTATGGAGGCTGTCATTCAGGGAGGCCTTTAATTCAGGTTCTAAAGAGCTTTTTGATCTTCCTCAGTCAGTTCTTATCATGATCACATACTAAAACAAATTGCTTTTCACGCTAGGCTGACCCAATGCATTCTAATTCTACACAATTAAATGGAGAAACTTTCAAGATGGCCAGACTCAACTTCCAAGATCATATTAGGCATTTCTTGTTCAGAATCTTAAGTGGAGATGCAAAAAAGAACAGGTCTTTCCTGCTGTAAATTAACAGAGAATGGTCCACTTAAGCTCCTCATCCAAATACCCTTGATCTTTTGGAAGATTTGCATCCGATCTGGAGTTTATCTTTGCAGCTGACAGCTGCAATGTGTCTCAGATACCAGTCAGTCAATTACGTCTTTTAATTTAACAGCAATGCCTTAAATTAGATGCTAGTGACAACAGCAAAGAAAAAAGAAAAGAAAAAAAAACCCCAAAAACTAAAGAATCAACACAAAACAATCAATAGATTACAGTGAAAGGATCTTTGCTGACACACTACATCCCTTCTCCAATTTTGTGTTTTGGATTTAGCCTCCCACTGACCCCAGCTGCAGACACTTTTGGTTGGCAGAGCTCTCTGAAACTCAGCGGGCTAGGACATCTTGTGTCTGAAAAAACATGCTGAGGTGACATAAAGCCATCACAGATTTGTATGCTACGTCTGGAAATATTTATAGTGGACCTATCACTTCAGAATCATCAGTGGTTCTCAGCTGCATGGAAAAAAATGCCATTATTTTTTAATAAAACAGGGAGGAAGTATGCTAAGTGGAGATTAAGAGTTAGATTGTCTTACATCATCCAAGTGTCTTATTTAAACTTGTTGTTCTATGGGAAAAGAGAGAGATGTTCC